CGCGCACCTGATGGGGCCGCGCTGCCGGCGGGACGGGGCGGCCGGAGCCGGGGCCGGGCGGCGGCGGGGGATGCGCACCTTCCTCTGCCTTCCCTCCCCTGCCTTCCCCGGCCGGCGGTAGCGGGAACGCGGCTCCGGCAGCTGCGGATCCGCCGCGCAGCGCGGAAACTTTTGGGCGAGTCGCTGCTGGGCTGCGGGCTAACTTCCATCTCTCTCCCCGCTCCCTTCTCCTCACTCCCCTCTACTCCCTGCTCCGTTCTCCTCTCCTTTCCCCCCCGGCTTTCCTCTCTCCCCGTCCTTTTTTCTCTTTTTCTCCCTTTTCTCTCTCTTTCGTCTCTTCCCTCTCTGCTCCCCCTTTCCCGCTCCACTCTGCTCCTCTCCCGCTCCGCCTTTTGTTTTCGCAGATAGTCGGCACACAAAGCTGGTCCCAGATTTGAGCGACGGCGAGACACCCTGATGTGTGAGCCTGGGGCGCGCCATGGATCTGACTAAGATGGGGCTGATCCAGCTGCAGAACCCCTGCCACCCCACGGGGCTGCTGCACAAAGCCAACCAGATGCGCCTGGCGGGGACGCTGTGCGACGTGGTCATCATGGTGGACAGCCAGGAGTTCCACGCGCACCGGACCGTGCTGGCCTGCACCAGCAAGATGTTCGAGATCCTCTTCCACCGCAACAGCCAGCACTACACCCTGGACTTCCTCTCACCAAAGACGTTCCAGCAGATCCTGGAGTACGCATACACTGCCACCCTGCAAGCCAAGGTTGAGGACCTGGATGATCTGCTCTATGCTGCTGAGATCCTGGAAATTGAGTATCTGGAGGAGCAGTGCCTGAAGATCCTGGAGACTATACAGGCCTCTGAGGACAATGACACCGAGGTCGCCATGGCTGATGGAGGTGCTGCCGCCACCACTGAGGAGGAGGAGGAGAAGAAGTCGAGGTACATCAAGGGCCTCTTCATCTCCAAGCCCACTGGTGAGGAGGGTGGCTATGCTGGCATGGCCAGCCAGAGCCTGCTGGCAGCCACAGTGGAGCAGAGCCCCTCTGCCTCCGCGTCCTACTGCTCCCTCTCTTCCATGAGCCCCACCAAGGCAGCGGTGGACAGCTTGATGACCATCGGGCAGTCACTGCTGCAGGGCGCCCTGCCACCCAGTGCCCCCGAGGACCCACGCTCTGCCACCACCCGCCGCCCCTCCGGCCTCGCCGAAGTCAAAGCTGAAGCGATGCAGGTGGATGAGGCCTCCAGCCACGACAGCCCCCGGACGGCCGAGCCCGGTGCCTCCAGTGGGGAGAAGCCTGAGGAGAAGGGCAAGGAAGGACCTGGCACCCCGACCCGCAGCAGTGTCATCACCAGTGCCCGTGAACTGCACTACACCCGCGAGGAGGGCGCCGAGCCACCCCCTGAGCCTGGCCAGGGGCTGCCGCTGGGGCCGGAGCCGTCCGCCGCTGCCCCGGGAGAGAAGCCCTTGGGCATCTACTCGCTGCTGCCGAACCACAAGACTGAGCCGGTGCTCGGCGTGCCGCCCGCTGCGGCGGCCGCCCTGCACGTGCAGCCGGCCCTGGCTGTCTCCATGGACTTCAGCGCCTACGGCGGGCTGCTGCCCCAGGGCTTCATCCAGCGGGAGCTGTTCAGCAAGCTGGGGGAGCTGGCAGCCGGCATGAAGACGGAGAGCAGAGCCCTGGGTGAGCAGTGCAGCGTGTGTGGGGCAGAGCTGCCGGACAACGAGACCCTCGAGCAGCACAGGTGAGTGCCGGGGCCGTGCTGTGGCGTGCTGCACCGGGCAGCCGGGATCTTGCCAGAGGGTTTTGGTTTCTGGCTGAGTGTCACACGTGCCGGTGCAAAGTTTCCATCACGTACCCCAAAACCAGCTTGTGGGGTAGCATTCTCAGAGGGATGGCTGTTGCAGCTCCCCCAAGCCTGGTTACCGTGCCAGAAGGTTCCTTCCAGTGAGTGCTGGCTGGGGACAGCCCAGATGAGCTGGGGCCGTCGGTGTTTCCTGCGAGCAGAAACACCACCAGTTTCCCTGGCTGGCATCAACCGAGCAGCTCACAGTTGCTTCCCTTTGAGTTTAGGGATCTGCGTGTGGGGAGATGCAGTAGGGACAGGCAGCACTCGCCCCTCTGCTGAGAGCTG